GAGGAGAGGAGAGGAGAGGAGAGAGGGGAGGAGAGGAGAGGAGAGGGGAGGGGAGGAGAGGAGAGAGGGGAGGAGAGGAGAGGAGAGAGGAGAGGGGAGGAGAGGAGAGGGGACACCATTTTTGTTTTTACAACATTGGTAACACTAAACTGGGTACTTTACTTGTTCCTGTAGTTTAGTAAATGCTGACTCAGCGTATTCCTTCATTCCGTTGTAAAGTGTGAGTGTGTGCGTTACCGTGGTAACAGGGACCCTCGGACACGATGCTGACGGCTCTCTGCTTCTTGCAGGCGGCTCTCCGGAGGAAGCACTCATTCTGGTAGGTGTCCCCGTTGGATCCACACACAGGGACGTACTTCTTGTGACACTGAAACACACCACGAGATGACATCATCAGAACTGTGAGTGTGTGTGTGTGTGTGTGTGTGTGTGCGTGTGTGTGTGTGCGTGTGTGACTCACGTGGAACTGGCAGACACACTTGATGTCGGCACCGTTCTCTCTGCAGGTTCCTCCGAAGCGACACGTTCCGGCGTCACACACCCTCAGGTCGCTCTTCTTCTCCGACAGATCTGAAAACAACAACACGATCGTCTCAACGAGGTGCGTTTGGTTTGTTCACCCAGAGGAGCAGACGACGGGACAACCGGGGTGATGTTCAAGAAGATGAACACACAACGCTGTTGCCTTCTTACTAACAGATTCATTCATTCATTACAGATATGGATTGAAGCAGAATATTGTGATCGATGAAAACATGGTGGGAGTTTTGAAAAATGATAAAATCTAAAATTTTCAATAAATGACGACTTTTGTAAATGTTTACATCACAACAGACTGAAACACCGCTGGAATCTAATTCTACAAATTAGGACACACTAATACTTTATGTGTATGAACTTTCTCTGGAACACAGCTTTAAACACAGTGAACTGTTCAATAGAAGGATCAGGGCTCATCCTCTGGGGAGCAGGAAATCACATTACACAAGAATCCATCCAAACAGAGAGATCTCACTAATGTGTACACACACACACACACACACACAATTTCCTGATGGCAGCTGATTGGTCGGCGGTCTGCAAGCCGGCCAATTAGAGCAGGTAATTATAGGGGTCGTGACCCATCTCTTCCTCTGTGGTTAGTAAATACCTCCACCTGAGACACAAACCTGTACCTGAGACACAAACCTCCACCTGAGACACAAACCTCCACCTGAGACACAAACCTCCACCTGAGACACAAATCTCTGTCTCTCTCTCTCTCTGTGTCTCTCTCTCTCTCTCTGTCTCTCTCTGTGTCTCTCTCTCTCTCTGTCTCTCTCTCTCTCTCTATGTCTCTCTGTCTCTCTCTGTGTGTCGATGTCTCTCTCTCTCTCTCTCTCTCTCTGTCTCTCTCTCTCTCTCTCTCTCTCTCTCTCTCTCTCTCTCTCTCTCT